ATGGAGAAGATGTGGGGCGGTGCCTCGCTCCTCTTCTTGCCCCGGTAGGCAGCCACCACCTCGGCATTGTACACCGGCAGCCACTTGTAGGGGTTGATGGTGACACAGAAGAGGCCTGAGTAGGTCTAGGGGTAGAAAAAGAAGACTGAGTTGCCAGTGGGAAGGATGCCATTAGAGTTAGAGAAAGATCCCAAGAAAGGAAGAGGAGAAAGGAAAATCTATGAATACACTAAATCTGAGTAATGCCAGTCCCCACGGTATTAGAACTGACCCAAGGATGTAGGAACTAGGACAGAGTGCAAGACTGCATGAGCACAAAGAACAGAAACTCTTGGCTCTAGAAGGTAGATACAGACAGACCAGGAAGCTACCAGATTCAGAGGGATGTCATAGGTGGAGAACTCACGTAGATCATCCAGGATGCATAACGTTCCTTGAGGTTGTAGAGCACGGCTGGCTCGTGCAGGAAGGTCAGCATGGCCATGTCCTCAATCTTGTCGAACTTGGGTGGGTTCTGCTGCAACACCTGGTCCTCCTTCACGGTCACTGTCTGCAACAGCCCACACGCAGAGCCACTGTCAGCCCTCCCTCAGCAGGGGTAGGAGATGGGAGAGTGACAGGACAATGGTGTTTGAGAGAGAAGGACCCAGGATCACAGAGAAGATACACTAGATATTGGGAATGAGAAGAGCTATTTGGAGGATCTGGATCCCTACCTAGAGGAAGGAAAAACTGGACCTTCTTTAGGTCTGTGCGGGGTGGACCCTGGTTACACACATCTCTGTCCACACAAGGTGTGGGGTTTGTCCAGGGTGGCTTCTCATGCTAGCCCTGCCACCCACCTTGCCATGCTCGGTCTCAGCAGTGACTTTGCCACCCTCTCGAGACACAATCTTGGCCTTGACAAACTCTTCCTTGTCATCAGGTACGAAGACATCCTTCTTGAGGTCAAAGGGCCTGGTCTGGGCTTCCAGCCGCTCCTTCTCTGACTTGCGCAGGAAGGGGGCGGCAGCCCCAAATGCTGCCATCTCTGCATCACCCATGGCTGTGCCTGTAGCGGCAAGAGAAGGAGCTGGCTCTCCTCCCCCTGCTCTCCTGTATACTGGGAGCCCCAGTGTTTAGCACCATGCAGCGGAGTCAGGAGGAGTCACTGGCAAGTCCCTTGTCCCTTGAACTTATCCCTTAACCTGAGACTGCCTCAAAAATCAGTCTGGGCAGAGGGGATGCTGACTTTTGTTCAGCCCGGGGCTCTCCTGGAAAAGGAAGGAGTGTCCTAGGCTTCTCCTGGGAGCAGGAATTTGACTATATCTGTCTCTGACCCTTGTCCTTCCCCAGCCTCCTCACTAGTTACAGGTAAGGATTCCTGGTCACCAAGACATTCTCCCCAAGGCCACACAGAAACTGGAGTTCTTTATCGTGCACAATCCACCCCCACACCCCATATGCAGCTTTTCTTACCTTGGCTTCTCAAAAATGTCTATGAGAGGAGCTGTCTCAAACCTGCAGGGGACATGGAGAGAGTGAAGGCTGTATTGGGGCCACCTCCCTGCTGCTCCCTGGCTCTGCCCTTTAGCACCCACTCATCCCTCCCCTAGGGCTGCAAATAGGCGGGAAGTGGTAGTCAGCTTCCCTGGTCCTATCCTCTCTTGCTTTCCAATCACACTGTTTTTCTAATCCCCTGAGCACTAATTCTAGTTTCCTGACATCAAATCAGCCCTGAGCCCTGGTCGCCCTTCCTTCTCCTGGGAGGTGGTCTCACCCCTGCCTATACCCATCTACTGAAGCTTGCTCTCCTTGAGGCACCTGATGAACAACAAATGCTCACATTTGTTCAGAGCTGCACAGCCTCCAAAGCATTTTATGTACATTCTCTTAGTCAACCCTCACCCCATTCTACAGATGGGGAAATCAAGATTACAGGGTTTGCTTGTCCAAGAACACATAGCAATAAGTGGTGGAGCCAGGATTTGAACCCTAATCTTATGACTCAAAAGCCAGTTCTCTTCCACCCTGTCCTCATCTGGTTCTCAGTCTTTGTGGACACTTTCAGGCGGGAGTGCCTGTGGGCATCCTCTCATAGACACACCTATCGCATAGCCAAACTTGTTCCACATGTCCTTCAATAAACGCGTGTGCCCGCCACTCACGTCTCACACAGACACACTCCTTTCCTTCACGTACCTCAGCACACACCCCCTTCCAGTGTGCCCTTATGCCTCAGCAATAGATGTGCCCTTAAATATATGTACAGCATAAACAGGCTCCCATGCTGCACACTGTCGAGTGTACAGAGACCTGGAACAGCCGCACTACCTGCCTGTGAACTCCTTGTGTAGAGTGTACGCACACTGCAGCAGTCGTGACTCCTGGATGTGCACACAAACACCTCCATGTGCGTGGACACGGGTAGTTACACACTGGAGACCTCACACTTCCTCAGTGATCATTCCCTGCCGTCCTCTTCCCCTGTGCCTACTGCCAAATGAAGCCACTTGTCCTCAGGCGTGATCATAAACACCTGTCTCCCACCTGGTATTTTTTATCTTAGGTAGTAAAGTACATACTCTCCCTCACCATGTGTCAGACCATGCATGCTTGTACACACGACACACACACATGCACACCCCTCTATTGAATTCTGGTCTCATCTGCATGGATACAGACATCCCCCAGTAATACATGAGCCCCACCCCAGGGCATGTACACACATGTTTAGACTTAAACATGTGTGTTCAGTTACCAGACCCAGTACTCTGCATGAAGCCCTGCTTGCAGCCTGCTATTCCTAAGAAGTCCTTTTCTAAACCTGGGGCCTCTTATCCCAGAGGAAGGCTTCCAGCTCCACACTCCTACCTGACAGCAGAAAGACAGAGTGCAGGACAGAACTGTGGAGCCTGACCTGGTTAGGGGCTGTATATATGGGGCAGCAGGGCGCCCCCACCCCCACATGCGCCCAGTCCCCAGCCGGATTTAGAAAGGACTGTTGTCACTAGAAGCATTTCCCCAGCCCCCCCCCTTCCTAACAGCACTCCCCTCCCCCTTTCCAGTGAGGAAACAATTGGAAGTGGTCGTCATTGTTATGGCATGGAGTGTGCAGGGTCTGAGTTCCACGGGGCGGGGATGGCTCTAAGTACAGCCAAAATATCTCCCAGGCCTCACATTCCACAGCTGGCAGGAGAGGGAATTGACCACAATCGACCACCCCATGACCTCAGGCAGGCAGGGTCCTGGCCCTCCCCCAGGGCTCCCCTGGACCCTAACACTGCTGCCCCTCAGTCCCCTGCCCCAAGCACTGGCCTGGCGGCCCCTTGCATAGCGCCCTCCCTGCTCTCTGGCTTGGGTCCTGCATCCAACTTTGCAATGGGAGGGGGCTGAGCATCAGCAGCAGAGGGTAGGACAGAGCTGGGGGCCTGTCCCTAAGGTGGGGGCTAGACTGAGGCAGCTGAAGAAGTTTTCCCGGGCAAGTGACAAGAACAATGACCAGAAAACTTAGAGATGGGGATTCTGGCTCAGGTACAAATTTTCTTGGACCAACCAGGTGATGTTGAGGTCACTGAGCTTCAGAGCCAGATAGGAATTAGTGATGGGTCTAAGCCCTTCAATTTATGGAGAGGGGAAGTACCTTCTTTAAGGTCGAGCAGCCAGTCAGGGCAGCAAGATTCAAGGGTGGAAAGAAAACTCAGCAAGTCGGGGGGAGAGCTCAGCCTGTGGAGGCAGGCTGGGAAAGGGGGCGGAGAGTCTAAGGAGACAAGGACCCAATGTGTGCAGAAGGCAGGGTCTGGCTTTCAGATGGTCCTGCCAGATGGAGCCTTACTTCTTTTTTTAGCTCTGTCCACAGGTACTAAATGCCTAGCCCAGAGCCAGACACTCCGGAACCACAGATAACACAGCTCCTGCAGAAGGAGACCCTTAACCAAGATAACCATTGCCTGGCCCACCCAACCTCTTGTGTTCTGTGGGATGGTCTCTATCCAGACCTGGTGAGCCTGGGGCAGAGAGACAGCAAAGATCTCCCCCTTTACTGCAGACCATAGGAGCAGCCGCAGAGTCAGTGAGGAAAAGGAGCTAGGGCTCAGCCTATGAGCACAGTACATAGCCAAATGCTAAGCTCTTCCAGCAATGGGGGGCTGTTTGAAAGCTTCGCTGGCTCAGTGTCCAGGCAACCGCTGCCTAGTTTGGTTTGGAATCCCCATCTTTTCCAGCCACAGCTCTTCAGTGCAGGTGGGTTAACCCATCTGATTAGCTGTCAGCTTGGAAGAACAGTGGCAGGCCTCAGGGATGGAGGCAGAGTAGGCACACTTTGAAGGTGGAGTGGGAAAGGCAGGGAAGGAAAAATCTAGGTGGGGGGGGGCCTTAGTGAGGGCTTTTTGGTAACCAAAGAACAGCCTGGGGTCATTGAGCAGCTGTAGGGAAAGGGGGAAGGCAAGTGGGGGTGGACCATGAATGCAAGGGTCTTGCCCAGCGCAGCCGCAGCTATACAGCTGCTGGCTTGGGGCCCACGGGCTGACTGCTAACAGGTCCATCAGAACAAACTCTGGGGCTCAATGAGGCCCTGCCAGTGACAGGAATTAAGCCCACCGGCAGGGACCCCGGAGATTGGCAATGAAAGGCAAAACCTTTTTTTGGGGGGGGTTAATTACTATTTTATTATTGAATTATATTGTAAAGTCTACATTTACAGTCTAATCAGGAAGAAATGCTTCAGCAAAACCTCTTCTCATCCACCCATTCCAGGTTTCCAAGTTCAAAGCTGCCACCCTTCTCTGATTTCCCAGGGCTCAGGCACAGAGGCAGGAAATTGAGATGCACCGAGTATACTTGGGACGTGGCTGAGCCATTTCAAAGCCAGTGTCTTCTCCATGGGCCAGCGTCCATGGCTATGGAGCTGGGAAGCCTTTCCTGTGTTTACTAAATCAACTGTGCTTTGTTTTCCTCCTGATGGGCTTGGGGGCACTGGCTACTGGTATTACAGTGTTACTATTCTCCACACCCCATTGCAGAATAGAACTCAGCCTCCCTCCCTCGAGACTCTCTGCCTCAGATCTCCAGTCTGGACACAGAGTGGAATGATGATGTCCTTAAACATCCCCACTCATCCCTCAACCCTCTGGCACCTGCTTTTGGCTTCACCACGATTCTCTTCCTTCTGCTCATTATTATATGAACTGAGAAGCTTTGCTGGTCCCTTCATTCAGTAAGTATTTATTGAGTGCCTACTATGTGCCAGGCATTGTTCTAGTCAATACGAATCTAATACTGACCAAATAAAGACCCTTCTTCTAGGCAGCTCTAGTTACCTGTTCACAGAATTGAAATCCAAGTCTGAGCTTATAGCCAGTGCCTTTGCTCACAGCACATGCCTGGTGGGGGGAGTGAGGGGCCAGGGGCCCCACCGGGTGAGGGTGGGTGGGGATCTCGCAGAGTGTACTACAGAGTGATAGGAGACAAGACAAAGGAGAGCAGAGCAAAATGCTATAAATAAAGAGGCGCTGGAGGAAGGCTCCCTCACCAAGGTAGACCAAATAAGGCCTTGAGTGGAAGGAAGGTGATCTGTCTCCCCCGCCCCTCCCTCTTCTCTTCTCGCCTCTCCCCCCTCCCCTCCCCTCTGATCCCCGGCATTGTGCCTGCTTTGTCTGGGCTCTGTCACCACCCTGATCAAATGTCAGGCCCAAACAGGGGCCATTTGCTGTGAACATGCCAGTGGGAGTTCAGAGGAAAAGTTGCTAAATTTACTACCAGGAATGGGGAGGGGAGAGGCACACTAAGGCAAGTTAGAGGAGACCCCAGAGTGGAAAGAAGCCCCCAAATCCAAAGGGATGGGAACAGGAGACGGGTAGAAAGAAGCAGGGGCTTGGCCCAAGGAGAGGAATGAGGCACCAGCTGTCCCGTGCACACGGGAGAAGGGACCCACCCTGGAGTGGGCTGGGCGCTCTCCTATCCGCCTGCTCCCAGGATCCCTGACCTTGGGGGATCTCAACCCTGGCTCCACAGGAGCCTGAGATTAGGGCTTGAGCTTTGTGCCTGTCTCAGGTTTCCCTTTACAAACAGCTGCTCCTTCTTGTCATTCTTTTGTCTTCCTGCTGGCTCCACAATCTTTTGTACCCTCTGCACCCCGCCCTCACTCCCTAGTCCAGAGTCTCTGCTTTCCGATAGACAGTGGACAGCTGGAAAGGTGGGGGCAGGGCCTGGGCCTGGCTTAGTTTTGTTTGGAATGTTTGGGAAGGTGAGTCTTAGTATCAGAGAGTGTTTGGTTGAGCAGAACTTACCCAAAAGGAGGTTTTGTGGACTTGACCAGTCTGAATGTAGGGCCGGAGGCCTCAGAGGGCATGCCTGGTGATCTTTGGGGTCAGTCGCAAAGATCCACCCCATTTTCCAGCTGTGAGGTGTGAGAACCTCTCTGTATCAGTTTTGTCATCTGTAACATGGGGACAGCCACATTTTCCTTCTAGGGCTATAAAGACCTCCAGAGTTTGTACAGGCAAAGGGTCTAGCACAGCCCGAGACACACAGGAGGCCCTCACTCAGTGGCAGCTTTTATTGTTAGGAACACGGCCCTCACCGTAGGTGGGTAGAACAGTTACCCAGCCGTCAGTTCTCTGCCCCACTTCTCCCTCGGCCCTGCTAAAAGGGATGGTCTGGGCCAGGGCAGAGGAGAGATTCAGCAATTCTGTGGTCTCTTCCTCCCAGATTGTGGTTGTCTTAGGAATATCGTGACCAGGAGGCCAAGTCTTCAGGCTCTCCCAGGCTCAGTCTAAGCCCACAGCCCAGCCCTGAGGCTGGGAGAGGTAGCGCTGTCTGCGTGTGGGCCATGGGCTAGCCCTCAGGACAAGCCAGTGTGCTGAGCTGAGGTCCACCCAGAGTTGTCCAGGCTAAGTGGTGACCAAGAACAACTGGTGACCATTGGCCAAGGACATCTGACAGGAGCAGAGGTCTCAAGGTAGAGGCTGCATGGCCATTAGAGCCAACCATCAGCTAGATTTTTGTGTGTGTCCTGGCTCAAGATCTTAGGGATTCGGAGTAGAGTTGCCAGGGAGAGCTGGGCTGGCCTTAGGAAATGGCAGTTGGGTAGTGGCGGGGAGAAAGATTAAACTGAGGCCCTCAGAGATGGGAAGCAACCCGGGCTGGAGCCAGACTAGGATGCAGAGGGGCTAGCAACTTCTGGGTGTTGCCAGGCTATTGTGGTGTGAAATAACTGGACAAACTGAAAAACAGCATCCCAAGTCATTTGCCAGAGCTCTGCACACTGCTCTCTCTCTCTGTTGGGCCCCAGCTGGGGATCCAGCACCGGCCCCTGTTCCTCCACTCCAGGGCCCTGTGGTTGCTGGGCCTGGAGCAGCCCAGGCTGGGGACACAGCATGGGATTTACTAGAAGTGAGAGGTAATTGCTCAGAGTGGAGCCAAGAGGCCGAGTAATCAGCAGCACTCTTCCCAAGGGGAGAAGAAATTCTGTACTTCATTCCTTTCTTCGGAGGCCCCATTTCTTTAAGCAGGCCTCCCTGGGGCCATCACCGGTCTCCCTGCCTCTATCCCTACCACAAATGCAGTGAGCACACACAAGTGCACTTGCCTACAAACGTACGCACATGTGCCTATGTATACATCTCTGCACAAAGACCTATGACACACAGTCTCCACTACCGTCTGTACTAGTCTTAACACAGAGCATTGGTGCCTGGTGAACTTGCTAGGAGTATCCCCCTCCCAGCGTCCGGGCTGTCTCATTCTTCCTCCCATCACCCAGCTGTGATCCAGTCAGCCACTCAGTCAGGGGCTTTGCTGACCCTGCTTTATGCCCAGCTCTGTGGGGGCCACAGGAGGATCCCATGGCCTCTGACTTATCACAGACATTTCCATCAGCTCAGGAAGCCACAAGTACTGGAAAACAAGGGAGGGTGGTTCAGGGCTACTCGGCGTAGTCCACATCCAAAACAACCCAAAGGCAGAGAAGCTCTTTTTCAGTGTGGGCTGGAACCGTCAAAGGTTTCTAGGTGGGCTCCTGAACCCCGGTTCAGGGTGCTTGACGGGAGGAGGGTAGGGCTTTCAGAAGCACTGGGAATGGGAATGTGGTCTAGGTGGTCAGAGTCACAGCATGACCAAAGGTGTGGCAGGGGATGGCATGCGGAGGCAGCAAGGACCCCAGGGGCATAGGGCATATTCCCAGCTGGACTATGGAGGTCTGGAGATTTCATATGGGGCCACATTGTAGAAGAGGGGAAAGGGCTGTTGTACACGGAGAGCCTGCCTGTGCCATATTCTTGCCCTTAATGCTCACGTTTGCCTGTCAATTAAATTGGATTTTATGGTTGAACAACAGGGTTCAGGGAGGCTAGGATGTTTGTTCAAGATTAATCAGTAAATGTGGTGCTGGGATTCAAACCCAGGACCGTCTTACTCCAAGGTGCTTTCTACTGACATTACCATGAAAATCACTGTGACATTGTGACAGTAGAGTTTGAGGGGCCTCCCAGGAGTATTATTGGGTGCTTTTAAGAAAAAGAAGCTGGAGGCAGGGAGACTCGAGAAGAGGACAGAGTAGTAGTCAAGGTCAGGAGAGGGTGTGGCTAGCAAACACGAAGAAAAAGGGGCAAAGCTGGAAGGATTTCTAAGGATGAAAAGAAAGTCTTGCTGACAGACTGGACCCGGGATATGAAGAAGGAAGACTCATAACTTCATAATGTTTGGCAAGGGCAGGGATAGCAGCAAATGGAACCAGCTCTTAAGCAGACAGGAGGAAGGACTGTTTAGCTTGGGTGGTTAGCAGTAACAGTGGGGCATCTATGGAAGATACTTTACATTCCTGTAGGAAGTTGGAGGTCTGGTAGGCAGGCTGCTGAATGACACCGTGCCTGAGGGACAGTGAAAGAAGCTGTAAGATTGGAGGGAAGAGGAAAAGCACTAGGACATACCCATGGTACCCAGATGGAAGAAGGGAGAGAAGCTTGCAGAGAATGGAGAAGGTGACCAAAGAGAGCCAGGGAACATGAGAAAGAAGCAGTTTCCTAGAAGCCAGAAGTGTTTCAAGAGGAACAGGTGGCTGTAGTGTCAGATGCCAAGGAAAGACTTGGTGTCAGGGAGACGGAGAAGAGGAACTTGAATGATCTTGGAGCAAGTGCCTTCTGTACAGTCACAGGCCAGGCCAGCCTGCAGTGAGGTACTAAGAAAAGGATGAATGAACAGGAAGTGGAGGCAGTGGTTGTAAACTATGCATCTGAGGAACTTGGCAGTGAAATGAAAGAGATTAGACAGCAAGTAAAAGGGGAAAAGGGCCAACTCACACTGTTTTGTTTTTAAGACCAGGCAATCCCAAACACATGAAGAGGGGATGATAAAAGATGCCCTTATTTTGTTCCCCACTCTTTTTTACATGCTCTGGTTCTGTTTTCTTATTCCCATCTTTCATTTTGGAAGCCTAAGAGGTGGTCTGGAAATACCTGGAGAGTTGAGGTGCTTACTACCATAAAGTGGGCTTGCAAATGTTAGGCTCAGCCAGCTCTCTGTGCATTTCCAGATACAAACATAAAGAATTCAGAGCAGAGCTTGGGGAAACTCTGGCCCTTATCCTTTGGCCCTCACCAACTGGCCTTAGGAAAGTCTTGGCCTCCTGTGTTCCAGGGTATGAGGACTAATGTAGGGCTTGGAGGGCAAGGAATAGCCCTAGAGAGTCATCTGAAAACACAATTAGCACCTGTGACTCAGCTTCTTCTCCTCGCTTATTCCTCAGCATTTTGATGCTAAGGTATAACCCATAACCGAGCCGTGGGGCAATTGCTATCCCAGAGAGCAGGGCTTTTGCTGGTATTCCAAGAGGATGGAAGGTGGAAGGGAAACTGATCCATCACTGACATTCCTATGCTGCAGAACCCTGTAGCATTCTTGCTGCTGGAAGTGGAAGCCTGGGTTTATGCCAGACTTTAATTCCAGTCCTTTGCTACACATGCTCCAAAATTCTACCCAAATATTAGAAACTGATTAAGAACACACAGAGCTGCACTCATCATGCAGGTCCTTCCAGCCAGCCATTGGGGAGTGTGGTGAGTGACTTCCCTGGGTCTGCTTTGTAATGGAGGAGCCTGGGGAACTGGCTGCTATTTTCTCTCAATGGAGCTTTGCAGGGGTAGCGGGCAGCCTGATTGCCGGATTCGTGACACCTAGGAACCATGGAACAGACCAGGGTCCAGAATTAGGGTCTTAGCT